TCACAGTTTGGTGAACCATGTGATCTCTCTGGTGGGATTGAAAATGGTCATAGCGGCGACTGAGGCATCTTTATTTTGAAGTCATATTTCTGCTCAAGTGGAACTTTGCAGACAAAAGCTCCTGCTGTGAAGCGTTCATCTAACTTTGTCATCCGCTTAACTGTCCTTAATACTAAGACACAGACACACTCCTCTCCTGCTTTCTTTCTGAGCTGCAGGCGACTGTGCTGCTAATTTTTCCACATGTCGTAAAAAGACTAAAAAGCCCATTATCTATAAATGATTGACGCTTTTAGTTTTCCAATGGCAGCTTTTTTTTAATATCAATCTCAGGTCTTCTGCTGCCTGCCTGCTCTGACACAGAGTGGAATGAAAGGAAACGGTTGAACAAAAACAACATTTTTTTTATTTATTTACTGTCAGCACACTTTGACAGCCGATGGCATGGCATAAGGTCTTTTGTTGAACAAGGCTCAAAGTTTCTGTGTCCTGAATCATTTATATGCAAAGTAGCTGGCGACAGAATAATAAAGCTAATCTGGGGATTTAAAATAAACCTGGAGAGCTGTTTAATATTATAATAGAGTACTGTCAGCAGCTCTAGTCATTGTGAAAGTGCTCGCTCCCTATCCTGGGACATATTCAGAGACGTCAGCAATACAACCAAGCAACAACATACACTTCTTGTTTTTTGCCACCTGTCGAACGTGAGGCCAATATTCACACTTTTAGCTCTGTTTTTGGTCTACCCTCCTGGGACCCAGCCCATTGAAAATGTCCACTGTAGTGGACATTTTGTTAACATCCCTGATGTACTGTACAGAGGACATCCTGGTCTTTCCAGTGATATGTCATTGGTTAAAATTGCATGCTGGGAAGTTCCTCTTTCTTTTCATCCAAAATGGCTGGCATACGAAAAACAAAATTGTATAGAAGCAGGAGGAGAAGTCAAATATTGTTGAATAATTGTAATTTTTACCATGAAAATCATATATGTTCTTGTTTATTAACATGTGAGGAACAATATAATTAGTTCTGAAAGCAATTAAATAATTAAAGTTTTCAAATAACAGCCCTTTTATAAATGTCCATCCTAGTGGACGTCAGGACTATCTTCATGGACTTTATGACTCAATATTGTTGCAGGAGACGGAACTGAAGCAGACATTTTCTGTACCAGATAGTTCAGGGAGATTCAGATTTGGAGCTCTCAGATGATGAGAGAGATGAGGCTTTCACACCTGGGATAGAAGAGGGTCAAGAAGAAGGGGGGGAAAGATGCAGGAGGCTCCATGAGCGCACAGATACAGACAGAGAGACAGATAGGGACGAGCTGGAAAGACATGGCCCTCTGTGGGCCAAGAGTAGCATGTATGTCTTATTGTTGTTTTTATTTTAAGTGGAGCCATGAAAAATGAGAATTGCCTCAGGAATGCAAGCTTTGTTTCTATGAGCATGGTCAAATGGAGACAACATCCATACAACTAGTCAAGATGACCCTACAGCCCGTGCCGACTGGAGTCAATGAGGTACTTTCCCCAGTACATTGACTACAAAGTCTTTGAAGATCTGGAAAGATTCACCAAAAAACAAACTAGTTTTGTATTGACCAAATAAACAGCAATGTTCAGATCAATTACTTATTCATGTTTTAAATAAAGGTGAATGTATTATTGTATTAATATCACTCTATAACCATAATACGTTACATAGTCCATCTGTTAATTTTGGCTGTCTTTTCAAACTAATATGGTCCCGACGTCCACTACAGTGGACATACTGTAACATTTTTAAATAAAATAAAATAAAAAAAGTCTAAATTGCAAGATGTTTTTTAACCCTAAATAAGTAGGAAATCACAAAAAAAAGGAAATTGGAAGACACTTGTTTTCCTCGGTCCCAGGAATATACCACCCTGATGGAAATATTTGTCCATGTAATTGCAAGATTTTAAAGCTATGCTACTCTACGCTAGTTGCTATCTGTGTCTTTGTGCTATTTGTTGCTTTTTTAAAACATTTATTTTACATGTATCAGGTTGAGGTGGAGCTTTAAAAAAATATATTATTAGGTTATATTCAAAATATGAATTCTATTTTCTATTCATAATAATAATACATGATTGTATAGCGCTTTTCTAGACACTCAAAGACGCTTTGACAGAGAATACAAAACAACAGCAAAAAATAATTCAAAAAGAGATAAACAAATCAGAAAATAGGGGGGGAGGTCTGTGGTTGAATGCAGTGTTGGACAGGTGGGTTTTGAGTGATGTTTTGAATGCGGTGAGGGAGGAAATATCTCTTATGTATTAACTAGTTACAGTCTTTAAACAAATAGTTACATATTTGTTCTTAATTGTACATTAATTGAGATGAAGGATACAGTTGCACTTGTGTCATCAAACGTAACACATTTCTTTTTTTACTGAACTGGTCTCTATCTTCCGGCGGTTTTTTATTTGCTGCGTTTTGTATTTCCAGGGTTTGGTTTATCTTGTGTTTTTACTAAACACTGCACATGTGTTGTCAAGTTGATGAAGATGTTTCTTTGTTTGCATGTGTTGTGGCAAATGTGTGTTTTTATATTTGTTTATGAAGCTGCCGTGTGTTTTTTTTTAGCGTTTTTGCAAAAATCACACAGTTTCAGCACAGTGCCTGGTTAACAATGCTGGTTATTTTTCGGGAGGAGTTTAAGTGCAGTGGAGCAGCAGGGACAAAGCTATACAAATGGTCAGTTCTCTCTCTCTCTCTTTCAGACACAACACAAACACACACCCTCAAAACTCATATTTTCTATAAATCCAATTGAAAATAATGGACACATTTCAGAGTGCATATTGATTTGCTCTCTTGCACAAAGCACTTACAACTTTCTTGTCCTTAGTGGCTGCATGTTGTGAAAAGACAGAACGTCTTGGTTAGATTCTTAGACACTCACAGCCAAGTAGGTTTGTATGTGAGAGCAAAAGAGCGACAGAAACAAAGTGTGTACGGACAACTTACCGTTCGTTACTCCACTGTTAGTGAAACCACTCTCCTCTAAAGCCTGCCTGTACAAAGACTTTCAGCGAGTCTCCTCTGGACAAAGGACATTTTCTTTTTAAGTTTTAATTGCGGATGCTACAAAGTCACAGGCAGCAGAGGATGATAACAAAAGCAGGATGAAAAATGTTAATAAGTATTACATGCTGGTGCAGGCACAATTTGGCTGTGTAAATGAAGATAAGACAGAAAACAAAACAACAAATAACAAGCAAACCAAAACAATGTCCTACAGTAATATCAATGTCAGACCAAAACAGGCCATATTATAAGCTACACAAAGGAAATGATATAACAAAAGCCATAATATACGAAAAGCCCTTCAGAGCCTTAGCATTTCATTCCAAATAAACACCCAAAATGACTTAAAAACATATCATTTGAAACGCTTTAAATAAATGATATCTTATTTAATAATGTGTTTTTTGATTCAGTCTTGAATACTATAACCTTAGGCTATTGATTTAACATATTTCTCCCACATCAGAAATGAAGTCAGTCGACTTGGCACTGCGGTTAACAGATTGTGTCAATAAGGCTGTCAGATTGCTGCCAGTAGTTTTTATTGAGATGGGTTAGAGAGGGAGCCGCACACAAGAGTCCTCAAGCCTATAGAAGTAATTATTTCAGCAAATTAATTATTCATAAATCAAATCTTAAAAGTGGCTTTGGCTCCAACCAATTTAATGGCAGGGTCTAGGTCTTAACTCTTTTAACACAGCACCAGCATTATCCATTGACACTGCATTAACTGCTTTTCAATGTGGCCATTTTGACATTAAGTCCTCTCTTCAGGCCAGTTTGACTCATGTTGAGGCTGGGATGTAGAGTGTTTAATCACAGCCAAAGTGTGATGAAGCAACAATTACATTTGGCTGGTAGCTTATTGAAATTAATAGTAATTTATTGGTTTGTGGTTTTCTGCTCAAGGCATGAAAAAATACATAGGCTGGAATCTGCTAGCAATATACAGTTTGACTCTCATTACATTACATGTAACTTGTTAGACGCTTTTATCCAGAGCGACTTAGTCAATACTGTGGGCAATCCCCACAGGAGCAATTTGGGGTGAAGTGTCTTCAATATGCTGACTGCAGTGGGGTTTGAACAAGTCTATGGTTTGAACCTGCTGTGACCCCCTGATCCGAACACCAACGCACAACCGCACCACACGCCTCTCAGGACTCATAACTTGAACAGATTGTTTTCAAAGTCGTTTAAAAATATTTATGTTGACTGACATGAAATTGGGTGAAAATTGATATATTTCTCCCCCTGCTGAATATGATTCTTGAATTTTCCCATTACTGTCACACTGACGCTGCTTTATTGTGCAGAAATACTGTAAATAAGCTCATATGTTGTCAATTAAACAAAGGGTGAACAAGTAAATCACATGGTTAGATACACGAATCTTGTTCAGGCTATAGACTAAACTTGTGTTTTATCCAAGTATATCACCGAGACTAATTTGATGCCACCTCCTTACCGGTACTTTCCCAATCACACAAGCTAACCACTTTATTATGCCGAAATGAAAGCAAGGTCACATTTATCGGGAACCAACCTATGAATCATCTGTGTGGTTTAACTTTAACGTCAGCATAACCCAGAACATTTAAAAACTGTCTGCTGTTTGCCCTTTTTGTCTTGCAATTAAGTTTGCCCGCAGGAACAGTCCTCTCTCTGATTCGAGCCTCGGGTCTGTCCTCGTGTCTAACAAGATGACGACTTTACTATCCATGAATCAACTATGAAAATATAGTCAACAGCCAATAAAGAGGTTTATTTGCTAAACTTTTATATTTTAGGAGGGTTTTTTGGTCATGCGTATACAACTCAATTAGCCATTAATCAATTCCATTCCAGTCGCTGCATAATTCTGCTTCATGTTTTGGCACTACCATGCTCCTGGAGTCTCTTGTGAATGACAGCAGGGAGCAGTGCTGGAGATGCTGTAGCTCACACAGCCGCTAGAAGACAAACGATCCTCTTACCTCCCCAAAGCGGAGCGCAGCCTAAGGAGCAGGAACTATTTTTTTTAATAAGCCGATGAATGGGAGTGTGCCCTCCGCTGGACCCTGACTCACTGTGGAAGCGGGGCGCCTTCACGAACAGAGGCTCAGTATTTTCTTTCAGAGAGACCCGGGGTGGAAAAGACGCAGCAATGACAGAGCAGCAGTCGTGCGCAGCGACAAAATAGACCAACTATTGTGGGTACGGGAGATTGATAACACAACTAGGCGAGCAACGAGCGCGGCAGATGTAATTTCCAAACGTTGCAGCTGGTTTGTTGCCAGTGGTGTGTTGGATGGGTTATTACTGCGTTCTCCTTTTCATCATCCACTGCTTCCAGCGTTTCCAGATTACTTGGGGATCTCGGACGGCTGCCTGTGAGGGAGTATCGCTGCAAAGACTAGCGGGGAATGCCATGTGTCGTTGCGCGACATAGAAGCTCTTTGTGGGCTGTTTTTTGCACCGGGGACAGGTGGTGTGTATGTGTTGAAACAAGCAGGCGGCACGGACACACAACCCCTGAGACAGTTGTCTTAGGGATGTCAGGCCGGCGAACGGGATCAGCTTTTGCCAGAGACAGGTGCGACAGGGAGGAGTAGTTTACAAAGCCCTGCACAGGATCTGGTAACGCACTAACAAGCACCCTCTCCCCTCTGATAGCTCGGATTTTTTTTGTACCCACCGGGACTCACAATCGACTCATACTGCCTTTTCTCGGTGGCACCTTTCCCCCTGAAACCTGAGGTAAGTGACCCGAGTTGTCCGGTGTGAGACTGCTGGTGATGGTGCGCTCTGGGGGCACAGTCTCAGTCGCGCATGATGCTTTGGACACATTGTATTGCTTCTAATTAAACGGATTTACTTGTGGTAATGGTCTAAGAGCCTACACCAATACAGCTGATCTGCAATCTTTCGCATCTTGGCATTACAGTACTCAATATATTTCATTGTATAATTCCTAATTTCATACTGCGTAGCTTCCAGCCACCCACTAAACAAGCATCTCTCCGCTGTCCGGAGCCTGAAGAGAAGCTTCACCATCTATTGATTGGATATCGGCACGTCTCCGATCTTGTGATTGAAAATGGCTGACAGTTATGAATGTCGTATTGACGAGGATAATTTGTTACTGTACATTATGGTTACACCTTGGGTTATAATACCTCAGTGTCACTCTCACACCTTAATGAAACTGGTTTCCCTCAGGGAGCTGTTAACCTGAATAATGTTGGACTTTCCTTGTTGTGTCAGGAGGGATTTTGTCTTTTTTGACATTAGCATTGATTTAAAGGGTAACTAGAAAACCACATTTTCCAATCCAGTCAGTTGAAGATCTGTGAAATCAGTAAATGCATGCATCCCCACCATGTGATCGGTAAATGTGCTCCTCTCTTTGTGTCCTACTCACAGTTGTTTCTGTGATCAGATGTTATCTGCTGGTGGTTGTGTTTGTTCTACTGTCCTACCCGCTGGGCCCTTGGTGTCCAAAGATCCTGCCTTCAGGCTCTGCCATCCCTCCCTCCCTCCTTCTGCAGTTGCTGCTATCTTTACAGTATTGAGCTAGTTGACTGGACAGTGTCAGAAAGAATCACGTTTTTGCTTTTTGTGCAAGGACCACTACCTCTCAATAGCTGGCTCCAAGTCTCCTAAAGTTTCTCCTTTTGGGGGTTGCATGTTTTTGTTGTGGCCCCTTTTTCAAATTTCCTTTCAGCTGCCTTTTGTCCAGCGGCAAGTTTTGTGGACTGGAAAGAGAGACAGAGGAGTAAGTGAAGTCCCCGGAGGGTCAGAGCATTCCTATAATGAGCCCGTGTGTGTGTGTGTGTGTGTGTGTGTGTGTGGTGTGTGTGTGTGTGTGTGTGTGTGTGTGTGTGGTGTGTGTGTGTGTGTGTGTGTGTGTGTGTGTGGTGTGTGTGTGTGTGTGTGTGTGTGTGTGTGTGTGTGTGTGGTGTGTGTGTGTGTGTGTGTGTGTGTGTGTGTGTGTGTGTGTGTGTGTGTGTGTGTGTGTGTGTGTGTGTGTGTGGTGTGTGTGTGTGTGTGTGTGTGTGTGTGTGTGTGTGTGTGTTGTGTGTGTGTGTGTGTGTGTGTGTGTGTGTGTGTGTGTGTGTGTGTGTGTGTGGTGTGTGTGTGTGTGTGTGTGCGAGAGAGAGGTGTGTGAGGAGAGAAAAGCAGGAGAGAGACACATCTGAAGAAAGTGAGACAGTGCTCCTTGTCCACTGCAAAGGTAGACACCAGTAAGGGAATACCAGCACCTCCACTAACCTTTCTGTGGCTCTGACTGTGTCAATCAGACCTGGAGGACAAGAGCCTCTTTAATTCCCCTTCCTCCAGGCTGTCACCCACTCTGACAGCCTGGAGGAAGGGGTGCTGCCACAGTTTAAACAGAGATCTGTCCTCCTTGCATGCTCAGATTATACACCAGGGGGTGACGTTCTGCACCAGACTCTGTTTTAGACCTTCTTTTTTAGGAGAAACGAAAGCGCACACAAGGGAGATACTGTAGGTGGTGAAAGGGAAGTAGTTGAAATGACACATGAAAGGAGATAATATCATAAACTAGCTATTGTCTAATTAGTGTTGCAGTGTTGGAGCTTCTTTGGCTCGACATGAGAAACACTAGCGAACTCTTCTCTCATGTGCTGACATCCTCTTGTAGGCCCATCACGTCACCAGTAATTACAAGAGAAGTGCTATCAGAGGGAATGAATTCATAGACAACAAAGGGAAATACCTTGTCTGATACGATCTCTGATCTTCTTATTGCACAGGATCTAGTCTTCTTTGTTCAAGGACAAAAGACTTTGCAAGAGTTATGAATAGAATCATTTCTGAAGTTCTTAAGGGAAAATCTGTCTTCAAAAATGTGTACACCCCCTCACCAAGTTCAGTAGGAGGTTTTAAACATGATGTGGGAACCAAAATGATCAAGAGTACGACCTCAGAGTGAATGCACTGACAGATTCTGTACATTTAAATTAACTGTGACCAGTACACAAATATTAGCACTCTACTGATGCCTTTAAGTTACTTTAGTTTTGAAAATATTGAAGGATTTTATGAGGATCTACTTCAAAAGAGTTGGATTTCTCTCTGCAGGCAGGGAAGGAGCGAAAAATGTTTTCTAAGTCTTATATAAATAACCAGACTGAAGGAAGTTATTCTGCCAAAACAAGTGACTCAGTAGGGGGCAAGATTGCACAGGCAGACATAAGGGAAGCAATCGAAGGAACATTGTACCTGATGTTAAAGCTGATGTCCTGAACACTAAAAGTGATTAGTGGAGAAAGCCCAACAGGATAAAAAAGCAATAGTTGCAAGTGAAAGCCTAATGCAGGAGCAGGATTGTGTGCCAATGGAGAACTCCGATAACGAGACTTAATGTGTGCCTAGGAAACCAGACAGAGGGTTTGGACCGTTCCAAGGTCCCAGTGCTGATGTCAGTTTCTGGCAATGTTTTCTTCGTCCTCAGTGCTTCTCCTCGCAGCAGCTTAACAAACTGCTCGCTGGAGCTTGGCTAATCCTTGGCTAGCTGTGCCCAGTGATTTATTATAAAGTTAGTTAATTTTGGGAGATCGGGCCACATCCCACCATACACACATGGCCTTGACAGATCCCCGCTGTCTTTACCGCGGAGTCTGAATCGCCAATTAGTTTGAAGAATGGTTTGTGTAAGTGTGGGAGTGTAGGTCATCAAGAAGAGAGAGATCGGCCTATGTCTATCAGAAGGACACATAAGCAGCTTTGTACCTCACATTGTGTCTGTTTGCCTTCCTGTCTTTTATGGACTGTGTGTGTGTGTGTGTGTGTTGTGTGTGTGTGTGTGTGTGTGTGTGTGTGTGTGTGTGTGTGGTGTGTGTGGTGTGTGTGTGTGTGTGTGTGTGTGTAGTGTGTGTGTGTGTGTTGTGTGTGTGGTGTGTGTGTGTGTGTGTGTGTGTGTGTGTGTGTGTGTGTGTGTGTGTGTGTGTGTGTGTGTGTGTCAGCCCGTCTGTGCCCTACACTTGTGTGATTCAGCAGTGTCCAGCCTGGGCTGAATGGCTGCCATGTCTGTGCCTCGTTTCTGACGCCAACAGCCGCTCTGCACCCTTTGCCTCTGAGCAAGTGTTGCGCCCTATGTGCTCAAATAACAGGTGCTTCTACACAATGACTTAATCTCATTTTCCCACCTCCCCCGCTGCACCCTGCCAGGGGTTGCGTCACCTGTGGGCCTGGGGGCAGCTCTTGCATAGAAATACAAATTAAATATATAAGTACGACCAATCTTGTTTTCCCATTTGTGTTCGGAGCACATATGCCCTGTCAAATTGTGCTTTTGTTCTACGTTCACAGAATCTGTTGACAGAACATTTCTAGAAAGCTGGATTCAACATTAAAGCTAAACTGAAGTGGGTGAGAGTGGGAATGCTTCTCTAACTATCTTATGATTTAACTTCTGGCCCGCTACCCTGTACCTACACTTAAATGGGCAACCCACTGTTTTTGCACATAGTCATTTTATTCATCATGGAGAGTACTACTCATCCTGTGAAAAGCATTGTATAATGTATTTTGTTAGTCTGCAGGGAGCAGTTCAAAATGTGTAAAAACAACCCTGATGATGTCCTCTGGGTTATTTCTGGCAACAGAAAGCCTTCATTACAAACTGAAGGTAAGGAGTTAGAATGAAGTGGGCATTTATGAAGGCAAGGGGTGTCAAATGAAAGACAAAAGTGAGTTGCATTATGGGAAATGGCAGATTTAGTGATTTTGATGAATTATCTCAGACTAGGTATTGAAAGTCTGGATATAATGGCCTCTGCTGCTTTGATTTGATAATTATCATCTCTTATAGTCCAATATCTTTGTCAATACGCATTACACAACTGCTGTAGTAGCCCTTTAAATCCACTTTGCAGTTAATATTATGCACTACTTTACATTAGACTTAAGTGAAAGGCTGAGTTAACCCTATTACAAAAAGCTCCAGCATAGTTTCTCTCTGTTTCTCATCTTTTAATTGCTTAAATGTTGATTATGCAGATTATTTTGGTTTTAGAAACCTGTTTTGAAAATGGACGTTGGAAATGGAAAATGTATTTTGTGGTACCCAAAGAAAACATTATCCTATAATTGAATGTACTGTAAACAAGTTTCATTAGAACTATTTTTTAGAAAGTGTTTCAAATGAACACAGCACATAGCTCTAGAGGTGAATGAGAAATTGAGATTGCTTTCAATTTACGTGAAAAGACCCTTCAACGTCCCTTTGGCTGAAGTTCGCATTGGAGCAATTGAGTCACAAGGGCGAACATTTGAATTTAATTACATTTCAATATTGCACGCATGAACACCTGTGTTTCCGTTCGTCTCTCCTGAGCTTGTATCGTTTTGTATTTCTCTGGGTTTTTGCCAAACCAAAGCAGATGTATTAGAATAGTCCTATGTGGGACCTGAGCTCGAATCTATTGAGCTGCCAGGTCTGGGGGCTCGAGTTGACTTGACACCCGGCCTCTTTTTCTTTTTCTCACATTCTTTCTTTAACATTGCCCCCTGCTTATTTCCCTTCACACATTCAGCCTCCATACCGCTGTTCTCCTCATTACCTCTCTTCTCCTGCCTCCCCCCCATGTCCTTCACTTTCCTCTCTTCCGCTTCCCCCCCCCTCTCTCTATCCTTCTCCTCTGGACCTTGATGTCAAGGCCTCTCAGGCGGTGTGGTCTCTGTCTGCAGGCTGTCAGGGCAGGGACCCTGCCCACTGGGACCCTGAATGG